TGCGGTGCCCCCCCAAATGGCTGCGGGACCCCCCCACCCCAGTGGCTGCGAGATCCCTGAGAGGTCCTGGAACACCGAGAGGTCCTGGACCACCAGAATTGGTGGGGCTCCCTGGTCGGTGCGGGACCCACATACAGAAACAGGACCCCTGACAAATCCAGGGCCCCACACCATGGCAGGACGCCCAGCAGGCCCGAGACTCCCAGGTGGGTCCAGGCTCCAGCATGGCAGCGGGATCCCTGATGGGTCCAGGACCCCCAGGGTGGCTGCAGGAGCCCCAATGGGTCCAGGAGCCCCAAGGCAACTGCAGGACCCCTAAGAGGTCCAGGACATCTATGGGTCTAGGACCCCAGGATAGCTGCAGAACTCACAGCGGGTCCAGGACCCCCAAGGTGACTACAGATCCCGAATGAGTCTGGGACCTCAAAGGGCCCAGGACTCCCGAGGTAACTGTGGGACCTCCAATGAGTTCAGGACCTCAGTGGGATCCAGGACCCCTAGGGTGGCTGCGGGACCTCCAACAGGTGCAGGACTGCAACGACTCCAGGAGCACCAAGACCGTTGAAGCACCTCAAATAGGTCCGAGACCCCAGTGGTTCTGGGACCCCGGGTGACTGCAGAGCACAACAGTGCCAGAGCCCGGGCAGCTGGTCCGAATACGGGAACGTGCTGGGGCGGAGGGAAGAGGGAACTCCTACCCGGGTTCCTTGTTGCTGTTTGGGCTGGTGACCCATAGGGAAAACTCTCAGGATGCATGTATTTTCTGTGTACCTCCCCCTTTTTTTTTTTAATTTAAGACTTCCTTAGGATATAATCCAAAGCAACAGGCCAGCAAGTTCCGCCGGGGCAGCACAACTGTGCATCTCACTACTTTGCTTTATCCAGGTACCAGCTCCCTTTCAGTCCTGCCCTTATTTAAATTAAAGGGGCCCCTGGTGTTTTGCTCTCACTGCATTTGACCCTGAAGGAGCCCTGCTGCCCCCTCTTCCTCAGCAGGATTCACCCCATCCACTGTCCCACCCTCACTGGCCAGGTGGGATCCCCGACTCCAACTCAGAGGCTTTGCCGTGGTGCGATATTGATGGGATTTTTTTTTTCCTCTTTTATTTCCCTCCTTTCAGACTTTGCAATCTGCTCAAAATGAAACTGTCACCGTATTTAAATACAGCAGCTACAGAGATCAGCTAAGCATTTTTAAACCCCCTGTCCGTTCTTTCCGTTCCTCCCACATCTGCGTCACCCACTGTTTTCTTTTTTTTTTTTTTTTGTTCCCCTAACCTTTCCCTCTTTGGTAGGGCAGATGGTTGCGAGGATGAAGCTTCTTTTGTTTTTCTGTGCCAGCCGCCCTCTGCCTTGCTTCATTATCTGTTTCCTGATGCTCCTTGTTCATGAGCTGGAGGCAGGTAGGACCCTCCGCGTTCACCACGGGTTGGCCATGTCACAGCTTTATGGTGGTCTCATAAAGATTTAAAGAGGTTGAAACATTTAATTTGGGCAGATAACTGAGGGAACAAGCAGGGGACATCACGTTTCCTCGCATTCCTCCTTGGTTTGCTCCTTCTCCAGCCTGCAGGGACCATAGTGGTTCATGGTGGACTGCAGGGACCATGGTATTTCATGGTGGGCTACAGGAACCATAGTGGTTCATGGGGGACTGCAGGGACCATGGTGGCTCTTGGTGGACTGCAGAGACCATGGTGGTTCATGATGTAGTGCAGGGACCATGGTGGTTCGTGGTGGACTGCAGGGACCATCGTGTGTAGGCTGAGCATGCAGTGAGGCCCTTTTGAGCTTTGCATTAAATGTGTGATGCCCTCCTCGCTGCCACATTTGGCCCAATATCTTGCTCCGTCCCACAGCTCAGTTTTCACGGCGAAGACCAGACAGCTCCATCCTCCTCGTCACCGTCGGGGCAGATGCTGTGCTGCCCTGTCGCCTCACCCCAGCCAGGAGCCCTCGGCCTGTGGAGGTCACCTGGCTGCGGGCGCCACGCTCCTGGCCGGGGCATCACAGCCGCGTAGGGACACAAAGAGATGGGGCACCAGGACACCACCAAAGGACAGTGTTGCTGAAGCGCTGGACCCATGGGGACCATGCGGATTTGAGGCTTTCCAGCATCGGACCCTCCGATGAGGGACACTACACCTGTTTGGTTCAAAATGGGATCAAATATGAAGGGGCCCGGCTGGAACTGAAGGTGACAGGTTTGTAGCCTGTGGCTGGGCATTCTCAGAGGGAGAACCCTTAATATTTAATTTTAGACACATTGGGTGGACGGGGCCTTTCCTGAAAGCAAAGCTCCTTGCAACTTTTAGGAGGGGGCATCTGTTCAGTCTCAGCTGAGATACCACTGGTTTTTTTGCAAGAGGGTCCAGAGCAGATATAGATGTCAAATACTTCACCCAAGACTGAGCAGATTTTGGTCATTTCAACTCTTTATCTGTAGGATCATATAGAGGTGGTGGTAGGGGACATTGTTGGAGGTTTCAAGGGGCTCCATTTCAAGGGGTTTTATTTTTTCCCTCTGAGTTATTGCCTTTCTCTAAGACAAGTAACTGTGAAGCACGTCTGATTCTGAAGTGTAAGGACTACCCCCAGATAAATATTGGATTGGAATAAGACTGAAAAGCTTAGTCTTCTATTTCGCCCCCAGGCAAAATAATTGAAACTCCACATTGCTGTGGTTTCTGAAATCTGAAAATAAATGTACGTTTTGAAAATGAGCCCTGTTTAACCCCAGCTTTGTGTGCGTGCATGTCATTCTAGCCATGGGGTCTGCTCCTTACGTCTCCATGGAGAGCTACCAAGGAGGCCTCAGAGCTGTGTGTCGATCAGCTGGCTGGTACCCACGGCCCCGCATGACATGGAGGGATCCCAACCATCAGCGTTTACCACTGCAGTCTGAAACACATTCCCAGGACCAGAGGGGCCTCTTTGAAGCACGAAGTACCCTCGTCATAACGGTAAACACCACGAAGAACATGTCCTGCGTGGTGAGGAACACCTACCTCAACCAAGAAAAGGAAACGGCTTTTCAAACCTCAGGTTGGTTACACCGACGCCACGCTCCACAGGCAGGCAGGGTGAGATCTGAGGAAAGCTAGGGTTTCTCCAGAGAGTTGTAGCTGGGATCTGGGATTTCAAAGGTCTGTGCGCATATTTAGTGATGAAATTTCCTGCTGGTGGTTGCTTGGGTGTAGCTTCATGGCTCAGTTTAGCAACGAGGTGTCAAACGGGGAGCAAAAACCTGCCTAGCCTAAATTTCCATAGTACTGCAAATCAGCAGCTCAGTGAAGACATTTTTGCAATGATCAACAGGGCAGCATCTAAATCCTTCGGTCAGTGGGTCTTGAAATGTCCCTTTCAGCTTGCCAGACGAACAAGATGAAGGGAGGTGGTGGGCCGCAGCTCACCCTCACCTGAGAAATAAAACTATTTCACACAGCGTTGCACTGTGAAGAGTCACAGGAGCTGGGGTTCAGCACTCTCATCCCTGTTGTGTCTGTAGGACACGCTTGCTTAGCACCGTGTCTCTCTCCTGGGGAAACCTGGTTCACTCCTGAAGCTGGTGGAGAAAGAGAGGAATCCTTGCACGTCATCGAATAAACCTTAAAATTGAGCAATTTTTGGACATTTCTCTTAATGTCTTTTTTTTTTCCTTTTTTAGACTTTTTACAAGACGCCTATCCAGGGATGGCTGTTCCAAGCATGATCCTGACAGTGTTTGGATTCATTGGCTTCATTGCTTATCTGTCAAAGACCAAAGGTAAAAGCTTAACCCAGTTTCAAGAGAGGAGGATCTGGGTTATGGCCCTTTAGCAAACTCATCTAGGCACAAAGGATGTACATGGGCTTTATCTTCTAAAGCAAATGCAAACGCTAAACAGGAAACACAAATGAGCTGCGAAAGGGACTTTTCTTGGATTCATGAAGCTCTTGAGTGAAAAGAATGAAAGGCAAAAATAGGGAAGAAGGAATTGGGGTTTGGGGCCTGGCAGGAAGGTGGGACATCTCTGTCCCCGTCCAGCTTGGGTCCCCAGTCCCCTGAGCGTGTCGGAGCAAACGTGGCCACGGGAAACTCCAGGGTCGCCCTTGGTCTGATCATTATTGAGGTGCTTTAGCATTGCAGCAGCAACTGGAGGCCCAAGTCCCTTGCAAGGGAGATTTTTGAAAATCAGGAATTAGCAAATCCAGAAACGTACAGCTGAAGCGTTGCTGATATTCCTCTGCAAGCTGTCCCCTAACTATCTCCTTTTATTTATTTTGGAGGGGGCAATGTTTGGTTAATGCCAACTTCCCCTGAGCTAGGCAAAGCCTGAGTTACCGCCTAATGCTGGAGAAACTTTGGAAGAGCTAAAATTCCTTTATTTTGAAAATGAAAGCCCAGGAATTTTAGCAGAATACAATCAAAAGTGGATGTGAAGGGTAAGCACCCGCTCCATTTTATCAGGCTTGTATACGCTGGTGAGGAGAAAAATGCTACTTTTGTGACTCCAAGAGGAGATAAATGCAGAAATTAGGCTTTCCTCCCTTCTTGTGCCTATGTTTCCTGTCCTGAATTCAGTGGAATTTGGTTACAGATTCTGATGGGAAAAGGGCAAAGGCTATAAATAGGTCGCCTGTGTTTGTTTTTGTTGCGGTGTAACTTGTTGATCTGGAGAGACAAGGTTGGTCAGGGTAATTCCGCAGAGGATGAGGGAGGTGAATTCAGCGCCTGAAGGAGCGGAGTGACCCGAATCCGCCCCAGGCATCGTCGTTGCCTTAGCGACATAGAGATTAAACTAGCCAAGCGGAAAACGAGCGTGTTCGGATCGCTTCTCATCTGAATTTTTTTTTCCTTTTAATTTTAGGGTGGCGGAGATTTGTGGACAAAATAGCAAAAGGTAATTTAAGTACCTTCAAGAGCTTCCTGCAAACAGCTCCTGTTGCATCAGCAGGGCTGGGGGAGAGTTCACCTCTGCTGCCTGCTCACAGCTTCCTGGGGAAAAAAAAAAAACTTCTGCCCAGGTTTTAATTTTCACCTCCTCCTGCTCTTCTCCTCCCCTCTGGCCGCATGGGAGGGGTTCCTGGCCTGGAGAAAATCCCCAATCCCCAAGCGCCTGGGGGAAGGGAAGCAAAAAAACAGTTGAGAAAAATCGAAACGGTGGGATGAAACTCAGCTTGGCTGCAGCTTCTCGTGGTGCCGAGCGCACTTCCGGAGTCAGGTCATGTGAAAGAGCAAAGGGTGGTTCTGATGTAGCGTTCTTGGACCCACCTCCAGTGACAAAACACAGTGTTAAGCCAAGTCCTTTCTCAAGCTGCTGCTTTTTCTAGCAGAGGAGATGATCCTGTAGAGCTGTCGTGATGTCCTCTCCTTCACATAAAAATCTGCCCAGCCGAAGGGCCAACTGGGACGATTATACGTCTCTCTTCTCCAGCGGGTCACCTCTTCGTCTCGCCATGCCCTTTCCCATTCTCTCCCTCCCTCTTATTCCTGCTCTGCTTTTGTTGTTTGGGAGGTGCCTGATGCCAGACTCCCTTCCTGGGCAAGGCTAGGGATTTGGACTGTCAGGAACAGCGATGCTCATGTCACGCCCGCTCTTCTCCTTGCTCTTCAGTCTCAGCCACAGAGGCAGAGACTTGACCACACCAGGAACAACCTGGACCCCTCCTGTATGGGTGGTGTCTCCTGCCGAGCTTTAATTTCATTCCTTCTATTCTTTCTTCTTTGAGGACCGTGTCCCGGCAGGAAGACATAGACATTCCCGGTTGGGTAGATCCCTGCCGCCACCCCAAGCCAAGCTCTGCCCCAGTCCGTTGACCTCACTCTCTCTCCCACAGCAAACATGACCCTGGATCCGGACACAGCTCACCCCCAGCTGCTCCTCTCCGAAGATGGCAGAGGTGCGAGGTGGGGAGAAGAGCAGCAAGAGCGGCCTGAAAGGCCAGAGCGATTCGACACGTGGCGGTGCGTGCTGGGCCGCGAGGGCTTCAGCGCAGGCAGGCACACCTGGGAAGTAACAGTGGGTGGTGGGAAGAGCTGGGGCGTGGGACTGGCCAGGGCCTCTCTGAAGAGGAAGGGACGGACTTACCTGAGCCCTGAGGAGGGACTATGGGCAGTAGTGAAGCTGGAGGACAAGTTTCGGGCTCTCACCTCCCCTGAACGCATACCGCTGCCCTGGAGCTGCCTCCCCAGAAGGATCCGTGTGTCCCTGGACTATGACAAGGGGCAGGTGGCCTTTTCCGATGCAGAAACTGCTGCCCCCATCTTCACTTTCCCGCCAGCCTCGTTCAGGGGGGAGAAGGTCCATCTCTGGCTCTGGGTATGGGACAAAAACTCCTGGCTCAGGTTGTTTCCCTAAAACCCCTCAGAGGACCCATATGAGTCTAGCCTTGGTCATTGCATTTGCTATTTCTTGAAGACTTCCTCCCAAATCAGTTTGGTGACCCTGGAGGATCAGTGGCTTTGGACCGGTTGGTCAAACAAGGGGCAGCCGCCAAGCACTGAGGTGAAGCAGGGGAAACCCTCCCGCCACCATTTCTGCCTGCAAACGGGGACCAGGCTGGACTAGTTGTGATAGTCGGTGCTGGGCCTTTCTTACAGTGCTGCTTCTAGTTGTATTGGGAGGGAGAGGCTTTTCAAAAGAGACAGTCTTCCAAGCTACTGAGTCCTGGTATTATTGTGGATAAGCATCGGGCTCTGAATAAAGCACCTCACACTTCTCCTGGAAGCGCTTTGACCTCTTTGCAGTATCTACATCTGCAAAGGGTCTTCATATTTGCTTCTGGCCTAGTGGCAGCTCCTTTGGGTGCCAGTTGAAGAGGATAACGTCCATGCTCCAGATCACTTCCATCGTTTCTGTGCATTTTTTCATTTGGTTTTGTTTGTCCAAACTGTTCATGCTGTGGTTACGAGGGTCTTCGCAAAGATGGGGAAGTTCTCCCAAATGTGTTTCCATTTTAGAGGGAGGGGGAGGCTCTGCTGCCTGGTATCTATGAAGGAGGCATCTGGTGAGGGTTAGTGAGCAGAGATGGCACCAAAGGAAGCATCCAAAAGAGGTGCATTCATTTCCATGCACTGTTTTCCCCACGTTGGAGCGCTCTGAGAAAAAACAGTGTTTCAGAGCATCCCTCCTTGGGCAATTAGCCAAAGCCTTGGGGGTCTTTGATGACCTGGATCTCACTGAATCTGCTGCTGCCAGCCCCATCTGTATCCATCCCTGCTCACATGTTTAGGACCCATCTAAAGGGTCCTAAATAGCTTCCCACCCCCTCCACTGTGGTCACCGTTGCTGCACCACGCAGTCATGACACACTAACCACATTTCCCCAGAAAGTCAACACGAGAGTATGAATTATTAGCGCAGAAACAGGTTTTCATGACATCATGTGGGTTGCTGCAAAGGGTCTTTCTTCTCTCCAGCTGCCTATCTTTGGAGAGCCTTGAATAATCGCTGAGATTTACTCCGCCCCCCCCCCTTAGGAAAGTGTTGATAAATGTGCAGGAATTGGTTCATATCTTAGAGGTGGCCAAGGACAAGGCAGCCTGATGCCAGTTTGGTGGGCAAAGGAGGGGACGTGTGCAAGCCTGAACCCCAGGAGAAATGGCACCGTGGTGGCCCTTCTCACGCAACAGCCACCCATCCTCAACACTTCCGCCTCAGGCTCCTGGTTACTGCAATAATCAGCTCAAGACTAGATCTGTGAGCTCAATATTTTTACCATGTACCTCCCCTATTTTGACTATTTTTTGCTCCAGGCTGGTTACTTTTGCCTTAGTGACACAACCCTGAAACATAGCATTGGCTGGAGCTCTTCCCTTCCTAACACATAACTGTTTTTAATGTTGCATCTCTCCTCCCCATCAGCCATGGGCTCTGCTGCAGCCAGTCTTGCTGTGTTTTCACACTCAAAATCTTGCCCCAAATCTTCTTTTGTGGGGTAAAGGGGAAGCACGCTTCATGTTTGGTCTCACTGCTGCTTCCTCACTGCAGGTTTTTTTAATGCTGCCGGGGGCGATCTCTTGTTCTTTTTACCATGTCATCCCCCCTTCTCTGTCTTTTCCCCATTTCTTTTGATTTTGCAAAGGAAACAGTATGCATTGGCTCAAGGTCGTTCCTCTTCCTGATGATTCCCTTTAGTTTATGATCATTCATTTTCCCCTAGATGATTTTCATATTCAGGTCTCTAAAACATCCCAAACTCAGGTCATCTCCAACAGCTTTTTTAAATGTGACCTGGTGAGAATTTGGAGCTCGTCCACTTGCATTATTTAAAGTATCACCAACAGAAGCTAGTAACTTTTTGTGTCCCAAAATGTATTTCTCTGCTTTCATGACATGATTTTGCAATTTCTGACCTTCCCCTGAAAGCCCTCATACCCGCTTCCACTCGCTGCAGCCGGGACAGCGGTGACTCCCTGATATGAGCGGTTAGTGGGGCTTTTAACTCCTGTTTTTCACTCATAATGGCCTCAATTTTTTCAGACGCTTCTGAATACTGTGTAACAGCTGTAGAGCTGTGGCTCCTTCCTGAATTTTGCCCTCGTCTAGCTAGTTCAGTAGGTTTCCATTCCAATTTCTGATTTTGCATTTTTCTGTTTTTCTATTCTGATTTTCCCTCCCTGCTCCGTTTGCTAACCACACTGCCCACACTTTCTGGGAGAAAAATTGGAACTTGGCAGTTTCTTTAATTCTGCAGATTCTTGCTCAGCTTGCTTGATGCTTTTGCAAGGATCCAAGTCCCAGGGGTTTGGTCCCCACTGAATAACCCTGTTCCTCAGCGCTGACGTTTCTTGCAAAAATATACGGGGGGGGGGGGGGGGGGGTTGGTTTGGGGTCAGAAAAATGCACCACTTCTACCTTTAATTGCCGTGGGCTTTTTTGCATTGTTTTTCTTGGTGCTCTTACAAACATGCCTGGATTTCTATGTTTTTGCAGAAAAGCCTACTCGAAAAGGACAGCTGCCCACATCCTCCACCAGTTTCTTACGCTCAAAATCTTGGTTTTGGGCAAAGAGGAAGCATATCTTGCCTATAAATAAAGGAAAAAACTTACTGTTAGTATAAGCAAAATCTTAAGAGTCTAATCATTATTAGTCCAGATGTAATTATTACAGGAAAAGAAATAATAATGCAGTTAAAATTACATGCATTTCTTGCTTTCTACCTCTTTTCCTGGGGTTGAGCTCGCACCTCCTCCTGCTCGTCATGGTCCTGAGCTCAGGGGTTTCCTGTTGGTGGCACTGGGATGTTACAGCTCATGTTTATGCATTTCCTAACGCATAAACGTTATTTGCTTTTGCAAACATATTTGCTTTTACACCTTTGCTTATCCTTTTCTGGTGGGCAGCTCCGTGTTACATGTGAATTTACCATGTAGGGTGCCTTTTAAGTCTGTTAGATGTTATTTCTTTACTTTCCTTGTTATCCCTAAACCACTTTTGCCCAACTCTGTGTTTCTTTAACTGACCACGGGCGAGATGCTCGTCGCCCTGTGGTTGCCGGTGCCAAGGCAGCGCCCCATCGTTATAATCCCATGTCTGTGCTCTTCCGCGTCACCACTTTGCAAGGCCTCTGCTACTGCGCCGGGCTCCGCTTTCATGTTCGAGTCATGAAACCGGGGTGCCCCCATACCCAGATAAGCAAAAATAAAGCAAATGAGCCATCGCCAGCCGGTCCCTTAGCAAAATTGCTGCTACCGCTCAACCAGGTGGAGCAAAGCAAGGAAAGCTCTGGCCGAGCTGCCAAGCCACCGGATGTGGCTGCTCCCGTACAAGCAGGCTCTAATCTCCCCGTGCAGCCGGCCTGGAAAGTGTGGCAGAAACGTCCCGGCTGCTCGATTACTTTAATCTTTATTTTTATCTGTGACAAGTACTGAAGAAGCAAAAACATTTCTTTAGAGGAGACTGCAACTTGCTAACAGAAAGTCACCGAACAGTCGAAAACTGGAGAATTTGAGAAGTGGCTGCAGTTTCCAGGAGCACCGAACTGGTAAGGGACAATTTTCTGCCTGGAAATGCCTCTCTGCAATAAGTGCTTATTGCTTCTACAGCTCATAAATAGAAAAAATCCTAAAAATCCTAATTGTCCCCTCTGCCTGCAAACAAGGCGCACATGCACCGATGCGGGAACCCTTTGCACTAGAGCCAAGTGGGTAGAGCTGGGTCTCGCCTGGCTTTGGCCGTTCACCTCTCCTAGGAGCAGGTTGTCCCGACTCCCTTTATAGCAGAGAGGAGGAAACATCAGCCCTTAAAGCGATTTCTCCAGCTCCCTGCGGTTTCCGTCTCTCTCCGGCTGGGACGCACCAAAGACCGTTGCCCTTTTCCACTGCTGTCATCATTTGCTGAGTTTTCTTCCCTTAGAGGCAGCCAATATCTGGTTTTTCATATGAATAATTTCTTTGTTTCTTACACATACTGGCATTATGAACTCTGTTGCATTCCTTGCCCTTTCTGTCACATGCATGGAGACGGTGATTTTACTTGCATGCTGTTTACGGGTTATGAATAAGGGAGTGGTTCCAAAAATGGGGGTCTGGCTTTAGTTTTAGAAAGGGGAGAGCGCTGGAGGAGGCAGAGGGAGCAGGCAGAAGACACTGCAAAAACGTAATTTGCCAACTGCAGTTGAGCCTGTGCGTGGTCCCCTGCCCTGGGGACCATCCCTCCTGCCCCAGCAGCCTCCCCAGGGTCATGGTCTGACAGCATCAAGCACGCTTGCAGTGAAACCACCCCAACACGATCTTCACCTTCCAGGCTTTATTGCAATGCAAATAAATGATGTGATTTATCCTTCTTCCTCTTGCCCCATCCAGGTGCTGTCACTCCTGGCTTTGCTTTACCTTTAGCATTGCATTAGCAATGAAAAACCAGCAGGTGTTGCAGTTAGTCAGGGAAGAGAAATAAGGTGGTGCTGGTACCACCTGCCTGTCAAATTGCCATAATCACTCCTTTTCCTTTGCTGCCTCCTCTCTTCTTGCTAGGTTGAGGCACAGGGAAGATGTGGTTTCTCTCCTGCGGGAGCTTCGACATCAAGTCTCCCCTGCCTGGCTTCATCCTGTATTTCACAGCATCCCTCGTTCAAAAGCTGGAAGCAGGTAGGCGTCCTTACTGCTCCTGTGGGCCCCTGGAGGATCGAATCTCCTTTATCTGAGATTATACATGATCTCCACCACTCATGTAACCAAAGAACAAGGAATGAACCCTCTTTTTGCCATTGGCTTCTAAGGCTGGGTCCCAAATCCCTTTCAGAGTTCAAACCCCATTCACAGAGTCACAGGATGGTTGAGGTTGGAAGGGACCTCTGGAGATCATCTAGTCCAAACCCTCTGCTCAAGCAGAGTCATATAAAGCATATTGCCCAGCGGTCTGTGCAGATGGGTTTTGAATATCTCCATCCAAAACATTGGGAAGGACATCACTGAGGTGCATTATTCAAACCTTAAATAGCACAGGAGAGCAAGTCCACCACAGGGCCCCTAAAGCACCAAAAGGAGTCATTCTCCTGATTTCTCCTTGCCCAGAGAGGCTGGGGAGTGTACAAAACCATCTGGACATAGTCCAGGGCAGCCTGCTCTAGGTGACTCTGATTGAGCAGGATGGTTGGACTAGATGATCTTTAAAGGTCCCTTCCGGCCTCAACTGTTCTGTGATTCTGTGAACATCTCCTCCAGCTTCTATTCTCTTGATGGCCTGGCTTGAGCTTACACGGCACTGCAGAAGGGAGGTGCAGATGAGCCTGACAGTTCTGCCTTGCCCCTCTGCACAGCCCCATTCACGCTGGTGGGATCTGCCGGCCCCGTGGCAGCAGTTGCGGGCCAGGGCGTCGTGTTGCCCTGCAGCCTGCACCCCCGGAGGAGCGCTGCCAACATGACGGTGAAGTGGACCCGAGTCGCCGACGTCGTGCACCACTATGGCAGCGGGCAGGACTGGCATGAGGAGCAGGGGCCGAGCTATCATGGGAGGACAGGGCTGTCCAAAGAGGATCTTGCCAGTGGGAACACAGCCCTGAGCATCACTGTGGTCAGGCCCGCCGATGAAGGCCAGTACATCTGTTTTGTTCAGGATGGTTCTGATTATGAACATGCCACGTTAACACTGGAAGTAGCAGGTCCGTAGCTCAAAACCATGTTTCTGGAGGAAGACAGCTCTTGGGGTTGCTCTTCTGTATGCCCTTGCCCAGATCTTTTATTTTCTAGCAGAAACTCCAGGGAGTCCCATTTGGAAACAGGATGGGGAGGGTCCCTAAAGCAGCTTTGTGCTTTTGAAAATATAAATACACCTTGGCTGCATGCTCCCATGTCTTCTCTTGGACCCAGATTACTGTAACCACAGCACAGGCTGAGACAGGCACCACTGCTAAGTCAGGACGTATCTCCTTTTTTGGGTTTCTTTCCAAACAACCCACATCCACCAGGATCCACCAGGATCTGTCAGACCACAGTGGTGCAAGGGCTGGCAGAAGGGAGCAGTGGGAATGGACCCAAGGGGACAGGGAAGATAATAAATATTCAAACATCTTACCTCTCTTCCGTGGAAAACACCCCAAAGCGGATATTGCAATGGAGGACAGAAGCAGTGGAGATGCAGTCATGTCCCTAAACCATCCGGGGTTGTGACCCACCAAAAACATAATATGGACACCAGTGTTTTCCATAGCGGGAATAGTTGGACCTCACCAGCCTGTATATGGGTGAGAATGCACAATGAGGGTGGAGAAAGATCTCCTTGGTGCACATAGGACCCCTTCACCTCCCAAAATGTGCATCGAATTCAAAATAAATTGCCAACATAGAAATACTCAGAGTCAGCAAATCCAGAAAATTCCTCCTGGAAGTGATAAGCTCAGTCGCTCTTTGCTTCTGCTCTTTGCCGTGGAGCAGAGCTCCAGCTCCCATGGGACAGCCGCATCGAGGACTTTCTGCGTTTTCCACCCACGGAGCACAACATAGCTCAGATTAGACCCTGCAGAACTGGAGGAAGCACTTAAAGGCAGAGCTTATTGCTAAGGATCTGGAGGGGTTTTCCCCTAGGAAGGGGACCAATTATCAAAAGCTATGTTTAGCTAAACAAAACAAAAAAAAAAGAAAAGCTAATTTCTGTGTATTCTTACACTATCTTAACAAAAAATTAAGACCAAAGAATTGGAATTAGCCTCAATTTTTCCCCCAGTGTGTAGTAGTCGAGCTATCACTGTAGCCCCCACTTCCCCACTGCCCTCCTTTTTTTCGGACCAGTGCCCCTGAGGATGGATTTCTACAAACTGTTTTTTCTCGCTGCTTGCCAAATACCATGAAACCTGCATATTTGGGTTTTTTTTTTCCCAGTTCCCTTTTCCCTAGGAGTGTTTCCCTGGATGGTGGCTCTGATTGTGACCCTGGTGGCTTGGATGGGGTCCCTTGGCCTCATCGCTTACCTGCTTAAAACTAAAGGTAAAATCTTAATGGAGGAAAGGGAAGACATGTCTGATGGGGAAGTGTGTGCAAATAAAGAGGGGAGCAACCAGGACCCCTGAGTCACAGGTCTTGCGAGTTAAATAGAAAAACACTGAAAAGGGCTCGTGGGTGACTTAGGTATATTAAATGCACTAAAGACTCCAAGTGAAGAGAAAAGGGGAGGAAAAAGGAGAAAAGTAAGACAAGAGATGGTTGGGTGGGGAGGAATAGCCCCAAGGAACTGACGTTACTCAGGTTTCCATCTCACCCTTCATCTTCTTTGGAAATCCATATTCCATCAGACACGATAGGGAAATACATAATAGACAGGGATAAGAAAGGGACAGCACTGAATTATTCTTGAAATAGAAATTCTTTGGCCAATAACATCTTCTTTTTGGTTTGTTTTCCAGCGAGACAGTCAGCGGAATGGAGTAAGTCCCTTTTCCTCCCCACCACTTCCAACCAGTAAAGTCATGTCCTTGTGGCAATGTTTTCTTTGGGATTTTCTTCCGGCTAGATTTCACGAAAAATATATCCATATCTGAAATTGGCCAAAACTGAGATTACTGTAAAGTTTTGTACCGTAAGGCGACAGGAAATAATATATTGTCTAAAAGCCCATAGTGACTTTCACCCTCTTTCGGAGGTGTCCCTGCATTTAATGTTGTCCAGTAATGGAATGTAAATGAAATAATCTGAAGAGCAGGGAACGGGACCAGATCTACCCTTCCCGAATAGCAAATTCATTTTTCATAACTGCTTTTTCTTTATGAATTATCTCTTACAGGCAGAAAAGCTGCGGAACTTGGTAAGTGCAAAAGTCCTTCACCCTACGGGGGCGTTTCTTTGTTTTCTGTCTTTTCCTTATGTTTTAATTACTGCTAGTTAGTGAATTAGTAGCACCTTAGTTGAGCAACTGCAACATATTACTAAAAGGATTAATTAAAAGAAGTAATTGCCATCGACTTCTGCTGCCGCTGTAAGCCCAAAAGAGCGATGGCTGGCGAGAAAACCCTGTAAACGGAGCGTGTCGTGGTCGCATCTCACCTCCCACCATGTGGTTGATTTGCAGAGTGGAGAAGACGCGTCATGCCCATCCAGAAAGGTGAGCAAACATCATGTCTCCTGAAACAAGGCAGAAGTTGTATCTCAGCCCATGGGAGGTGGTGGGGGGGTGGTGGGACCTCCACCCTTGAAGATGGTCAAAGCCTGGCCCTGAGCAACCTGGGCTAGCTGGACCTGCTCTGAGCAGGAGGTTGGCCTGGAGACCTCCAGAGGTCCAGTTCCACCTCAATTACTCGGTAGTTATGAGGTTGGCCTAGAGTCCTCCAGAGGTCTGATCCTACCCCAATTATTTGGTGATTATGACTGATTTCCCATGTTCTGCACGCAGTCACAACCTGATATTGGGTGAGTCCCTGGGCAGTCCCATAAGTGGACAGGACACATCCTCTTACTAGTCCAATGTGATGGCAAATGTCTTGCAGCTGTGACAGCAAAAGCATATGAGCCCCATAGAGGAAAATTTCAGGAGAAATTTCCTAAGAGCTCAGAGATGCTTTTCTGCAGTCCTGGGCACAACCCGGAGGAAGGTGATTTGCCTGGTTCCCATTGAGCTTGGGCAAATCCAACCGGATGCCACGTGCAGGAAGGGGGTCTTCTCCTGACACTCTGCCTCCCTCTCCTGCAGCAGACGTGACGTGGGATCCCGACACGGCTCACCCTCTCCTCCACCTCTCCACGGACAGGAGACGTGTGGAAAGGAGGGAGGTGCCGCACCTTTTGCCCCAGCGTCCGGGGCGATTTGACACCGAGCGCTGCGTGCTGGGGTGCAAGGGCTTCACGGGAGGGCGGCACACCTGGGCAGTGGAGGTGGCAGATGCAGGACACTGGTGGGTGGTGGGGGTGGCGGCCCGGTCCGTGAGGAGGACAGGGAGCTTCACCTTCAGCCCTGAAAGCCGGATCTGGGCGGTGGGGAAGCTCATGGCCCAGTTCCGAGTCTTCACAGCTCCTCACCCCACGCCGCTGCTGCTGGATCACGTTCCCCAGAGGATCCAGGTTTTTCTGGACTACGCTACAGGGCAGGTGGTGTTTTCTGATGCAGACAGTTGGGCCACGATCTTCATTTTCCTTCTGTCCCCATGTTCCGGAGAGAGCCTCTACCCTTGGCTCTGGCTGGGGGAGGCTGGAACCCACCTCAGGGTCTGCACCTGAGCCAGGAGAAGAAATTGCACCCCAGCATCTGCCCAACAAAAACTGGAGGCTGATGCGTGCTTTTCTCTGCCCTTTTGGGCAACCTTCCATCTTCTTGCCGACTTTCTGTGGTGCCACAGCTTGGGTGGAGCCGCCGCTGCTCCGAGCAAGGGGGAGAAGCCAGAAACGGGGAGAATTAGGGGCTTCTCTGCCTCACCAGGAAGGACGCATGGAGCAGAAGGAGATGTTACTGTGCGTGTATTGCGTGCTCTTCAGCCCAACTTTCATATCACGGGGATTCGATCCCAAATAATGCAATTGCTGGAATTGTGACTAAAAACAAACAAAAAAAGAGCACTCACAACTGCATTGCAGACACGTGTTTTCTTCAACAGCCAGCCAGCATGCAGACAGTATTGCAAGGGCATCTGGGGCTTCTCCAAGATGCAGAGGGCTGTCACGGGTGGCTTTTACCTTCCGGGAATTTATTGTCAGGCCGGTTCATGTTTTACCAAAACGCTCATTATTAGTCTGATCGCAGTAGAGACATTTATAAGCCACATCACCCCAAGTTTTCAGGCTGGAAGGGAGGCAGCTGCAGGGGAACGCGGAGAAGGTCTAGAAATAACATGCAAGAAGGAGAAGGTGAGTTGGGACCTACTCAATGTCTCTTCAAGCTGGAACCAAGGTCATCTTCGGACAGATTTAATTAATGAACAGAAGGTGATGGACACGGCAAGTCATTCATTTGGCTGCAGGGATGAATGAAATAATTGAATGAAGTGAATGAAAAAATGAATGAATAAGCCTGAGGGTCATTGAATGCCTCTCCTCCTCCTCAGGGTACACCTGAATCACAGGTCACCAGGGGATGGGAGGCTCCACCAGGGCCATATTTCTTGCTTGGCCTCTTCTGCTTTTCCCTAAATTGTTGCTGGTGACCATCACAGATGTAGGATGCCAGGGGAGGCAGACCCGTGCTGTGGCCAAAGGATACTAATTCCCTATAAAAAGGGGAAATCTGTAACACACAGGAGAGCTTGGAGATGAGCTTAAATAATCCAAAAACAAACAAACAAAAAAAACCCAAGAAAGTCTCTTCTGCCAAGCCAGGCGCTAGTTTCATTTTCCTGGGTCCATAACTTGGCTTTTTGTCCCAAAAACGTAATGGGGGCGTTGCTGAAAGGGGAGGTGAATCACTGTCCCCCCTGCCCCAGGGCGCCAGGCACAATCATGAAGGGACAGCCAGGAGTAAACACAAAACTCTGGGATTTCAGCCCAGAATTTACCTTTCCTCCTGCATATTTCAACTCTATATATCTGATATCCATAGGGCCCCCGCAGACTCTATAGGGCCCCAAAGAACCCCCTGACTCCATAGGGTCCACCTAACCCTGTGGTCCCCGCCCTGCCCCATAGACCCTCCCCAGCCTCCCTTCCCCCCTCCCCCCATAGGCCCCCCCCCCAAGCCCCCCCCCAGCCACCATAGACCTCCTCCAACCCATAGGGTCCCCTCCCAACCTTGTAGTCCCCCAGCCCCATAGATGCCCCAGACCCTTAGGACCCCTTGGACCCTCCATAAGCCTCCCAGACCCCATAGAGTCCACCTAATCCTGTGCCCCCCTAGCCCAATAGATTCTCCCTACCCTTAGGACCCCCTGAACCCCCAATAAACCCCATCAGATCCCATAGGGTCCTTCCAGCCCTGTGGTCCCCCAAGCCCTATAGACTCCCCCTATCCTTAGAGCCTCCCCATAGGACACCCCCAGACCCCATAGGGGTCCCCCAATCCTGTGGCATCTCCAGCTGCATACCACCCCCAGACCCTTAGGACCCCCTATAGGACCTCCCAAAGCTCCACTGGGCCCCATGGTTTCCCCACAGCCACGTGGATGCCGGGCCGGGGGGG